AAAAAAAGTTAAAACAAATGCACCTGTGGCCATCACTGCCCCCCTGGATCGCTGCAGCGCCCACCAGGGGGCAGTAGCGCCCACTTTGGGAATCACTGTTTTATAGTATTACTAGAGGCCCACTGCACGGATTTGTGCACTGTGAGGTCCCTAGGCCTGGCCTGTGGGGATCAGTGGACCTCTGTGTGGCCTCAGCCCGGCCTTACCCACCAGCTCATTGGGCTCCAGCCCACACAGCATGAAGTAGTACGTGAAGCGGCAGGTGGCCTGGAGGAGCCCCAGCCTGGGCACCGCGCTCGCCAGCCATCAACCCGGTGTCTGGCATCTGTCTGTCAGCTGAGTGGTGCTCCTGCTGTGGGAGTGCACTGACCACCAGGGGGCAGCTCCTGCGTTGAGTGTCTGCTCCATGGTGGTCAGTGCATGTCATAGCTACCGGCTGGTCATCTTCTCGTCCAGTCATCTGGTCACTTAGGCTTTTATATATAGAGATCATTCTTGTGTTGTGTTATATATGGGTCAGAATTTAGTGACACTCTCCTATACTCTAATTACTGACACTAGAATAGAACTGCATAATGGTCAGTGTGTCTGACTCTTCAATGTGTTCATCTCCCCCTCCCCACCCCTGCCGCCACTCAAGTGATGGGTCCAGGCCACCAAAGCATCTCTTTCTAGTGATTGACAGAGCCATTCTTAGCCAATAAGAGATGAGGGATGGTTAGCTTTGAGGTTTCAGAGAAAGATTTCCCAGTTCCTAAGAAAAGAAAGTCTCCATTCCTTTTCATGACTTTTTTCTTGGAAGTGATTTTTGAACCTGAGATATGATGTCATGATTGAAGTTTAGCCTGAAGGTAAACTTGACTTTCTGAGCATGGGGATCTGAGAGACAGATGGAACCAACTAAGGCTGCCTTACTTCTTGATTTCCTGTAATACTAGGGAATTTTTATTTTTTTATTGTGGAAGTTGTTTCAAGTAGAGGTTTCTGATATTTGTACTTAAAATGTGTTTTTTTCTTATATACTTTGTATTTTTGCCTAAAGGAGCTAGCTCTTTTTCTAACAACTATTTAAATATTTCTATAATTTTGTTTAAGCAACTTTTGTGCACCTCTTTGCGTTTATGTTTTAATGACCCAACCCATTCAGATTCAGCTGCACATCCTAACATTAGACTTGTGTTCACTAGGGAAGCTGTGGAGAAGGGAATGGTAAATGAGAGACTCTGTGGAGAAGGGAATGGTAAATGAGAGACTCTGACTACAAATATCCTTTGGCAATGCCTGATTAATATGGCTATCATTAAATGCTATGTAACATGTCAAGTATTTCTTTATTATTAAATAAAAAGTGTATCTTTAAATCTTATTACACTACTTAGTTATTCATGAGAGGTATTTTCTAGAAACACATGCAGTGCATCATGGACCACAAATTTATGTAGTACTATAGCTAAGTCATTCCCTGTTGCAGATGCTTTTTAAAATCGGAGAAGTGAAGTGTGTGTGTTTTTTTAAAAAATGGAATAGACATTATATTTCCATTTGCAGAGACTTTTAGCTTATGCAATATAAGTCAAACACATTCTGACTGAATTTTCTCCAAAAATTTTCTTTGAAGTATAGGGTGCAGAGGAGGAGGTAGAAACTAGTACATTGGGCCTGATGATGAATTGTACTTCCTGGGACTAAAAAGTGGGGGACAGAAACTAATTTTGATTATGAAAATTTTCAAACATACAGCAAAATTGAAAGAAAAATACAGTAATCTCCCATATCACCAGTTTACTTACCCAGAGTAATACTTTCCTGGGACTAAAAAGTGGGGGACAGAAACTAATCTTTATTATGAAATTTTTCAAACATACAGCAAAATTGAAAGAATAATATAGTAATCTCCCATATCACCAGTTTACTTACCCAGAGTAAATAATTATTAATAATTTGCGGTATTATTTTTTTTTTTGCATTGGAATTTGCCTACGTACACACATTTGCTTAAATTATTCGGTCAGGTGCAGGCCTTTATTGAGGTATAAGTGCGCGAAGTGGACTTACGTTATGAATGACATTCAATAGTCTCTACATTGTCTGGCTTGATGAATAGTCTAATGATTTAGTGGCTAACCGTAATTTATTTAAAAGATTTTTATAGTGAAATTTAGGTAACTGTAATTCTGTCTCTGAGCCAGGATTTCATCCATTTATCATCTGTCTCAGTCTCTTCTGGCTTCTATAACAACACCAGAAACTGGGTAGCTTATAAAGACAAACGCTTATTTCTCACACTTCTGGAGACCGGGAAGTCCAGGGTCAAGGCACCGGCTGATTGGTGTCCAGTGAGGTACCACATCCTACTTGGCCATCTTTTTGCTGAAACCTCACCTGCTGGAAGGGAGAGAGGGAGCTGTCTGGGGCCTCCTTTGTAAGGTCATTAATCACATTCATTAGTTCTCTGTTCTCATGACCTAGTCACCTCCCAAAGGTCCCACCTTCTATTGCCATCACCTTGGGAGTTAGATTTTCAATGTGTGATTTTGGGGGAGGAGGACAAACATTCAGAACATAGCACTGTCCATCTACCCTCTACATAAGGAGTCTCAGTCTCTCTCTCACTGAATAGATGGGTGAGAGAAATATGACTCTTTCTAGAAACATCTAGAAATATGACTAGCATATTTGAAGAGAGCGGGACTGAGCGAGTGAGTGTTAAAGGAGGGTGCTGGAGCAGATTAGGAAATGAGCGTTGGAGTAGGGAGATGGGCAAAGTCAGGGCCATGGGTAGCCTTGTAAGTGACCTGGAAGAGTCTGAACTTTCTTCTGAGGGGATGGTGGAGCTTTTGGAGGATCTAGCTGGCACAGAGACATGATCAGATTCATGTTTATAAAGATGTAAATGGAGCCCGGCCAGTGTGGGTCAGTGGTTGAGCATAGACCTATGAACCCATAGTTCACAGGTTTGATTTCCGGTCAGGGCACATTCACGGGTTGCAGACTCAATCCCTAGTATCAGGAGGCAGCTGATTCCCTGTCGCTCTCTCATCGATGTTTCTATCTCTCTCTCCCTTCCTCTCTCTCTCAAAAACCAAAAGATCAATTAAAGAGAAAAGATGTAAATGGAGAACTGATGAGAGAAGCAAGGACACGAGTGGGAAATGTGGTGTATAACCTGGGCTAGAGTGATGACCATGAGGGTGCTGGACGACAGCACATACTATAGTTTTTTCCATTTTTTATAAAATTTTTCAAACATATAAAGAAATTTAAAAAACAATATCTCTAGCACCATGATTTAATGATGGCCAACTTTTGGAATGCTTACTTTATCTGTCTCCCTTTTGCTCTAGGTATACATTTGCTCAGTTTCTTTAGTAAATCTTCACTGTGTCAGGCAGAAAGATGTGTTTACAGCCTGATTGTCTGGCTTGGCTACATATTAACACCAAAACCTTGGCCAGATGTCATCATCTTGCTGCACATGAATTTCCTTGTCTGAAGCAAGGGTAATACCTTCTAGGATTGGTTGTAAGATCTTAAAGGGATGATAAGTGATAGATACTAACTCACGGATTTTAGTGGTTTGTGTAACTGAGCCCAGAGGGAAAACTGGACTTCAGGCTTGGCTGTATCCAGGGGCTCGGGATTTACTCTCTTTTCTTATCTGTTGGCTTTATCTCTCAATGGTAGCAAGAGGGTCACTGACAGTTTTAGACTTACTTCTTACCTCTAGTCAAACCAGTGGACATGGCTACTGCTTGACCTCTGTCTGTCTCCTTGCCCTAGGTCCTGGGGTTAGTTAGACCAAGGTCATGTAATCATGCCAATGACTGGGGCCAGAGTATTTGAAGAATAAGGACTGGGGTTGATCGGGTGCCACAGGGGTGGTGTTGGGAATTCCAGGCACTGTCTGGAGTGTACCATATGCCAAGGGAAAGTAGGGAAGACAAGGGAGAAGGCTGCAAAAACAAAAACTCTGCTTAGCACAGTGACTTAACATTGCGTAATTGATAGCCATTACAGCAGGTATCATTGTCAAATTCTGGAATCTTTTATAGTTACAATCTTTTCTAGGACCGTAGTTTAATGATACCTTTGAATTTGAATAACATCAGGACACACATATCTTTTACATTACAGCAGTTATCATTGTCAAATTCTGGAATCTTATAGTTACAATCTTTTCTAGGACTGTAGTTTAATGATAGCTTTGAATTTGAATAACATCAGGACACACATATCTTTTTTGACATATACCTTTATTCTTCTATTGACCAACACAAATGGCTTTAGAGCCAGATTTCTCGAACTTGAATTCTGGCTCTGGCACTTCTACTGGGGTGATCTTGGCTTAATCTTTTGGGCTTCAGTTTCCCCCCATTATTTTTGTCATTGTTGTTTTCTGCATGGTAGTTAAGTGCAAAATGCCAAAATAATTGTTACAGTGTTCATATGTAAATAACTTATTTTATTTTCTTTTCCACAGGGACCTCCGAAATAATCTTATTAGTAGTATAGATCCTGGTGCCTTTTGGGGACTGTCATCGCTAAAAAGATTGTAAGTGTTTGATTTGCTTGCTTATGAGTTTGAACTGTTTCTCATATAAGTAACCGTTCATCGACTTTAAGCTTTCACACGATAAAAGATGGGTTTTTAACAGTTTTGATAAGTTCACCTGGCCAGATCCTTGATAGAAAACAGAGAGTTTTAATATAAGTAGCTTAGAAGGAATTAGTTTGCATAGCTATTTGATTTGTTTGCTGGTTGTGTCCCTCGTATGTTAATAAAATCATTGCTGCATTGGCTTTGTCTGTTATCATTCATCTGCAGCTAACTTTCAAGTTATGAGTGCAATCAAATCGGATCTGTTGTAAATGCTATATCAGTTGAGGTGCCTTTCTATTAATGATTTAAGGTCTTGCCATTTTCATGTATACTTTATGTATTATTATTATTTTAAAACCTTAGGACCAATTTTTAGGCTAAAGCTGAAAACTCCTCTCCCCATCCTCCCCTTATGCTGTTTCACAATTGTTGAGAAGTAACCCTGCATTCAAGCCAAGTAGTGCTGTCTGTCCATCATCCTTTATTCCTTCTAAAGGCATTTATTGTGTGCTGGCTGCTTGCCATACTCTGGCTTCTCTTGGATAGCTATCAGACTCTTGGGGGGCAAATAGGTGGATAATGAAAATACACCCTGCAGACGTGCTGTAACAGATAACACAATAATAATCATCAGGGAAAGGAGGGACCACCAGAGAGGGAATGGCCTGCCACAGGAGCAGTGACATTTAGCTTTGGCCTTGCTCTTTGTATGGGAGAATACCAGAAGAGTGGGCATAAGGATGAACCCATGTCTCTTGGGACAGTAGTTTAGCTCTTTGGCCCCAGTCTAAAGTGGAAGGGGGAAAAGAATGTTGGGAGGTTAGGCTGATCAAGGTGGGACTAGGCTTTTGTAGGCTTTGATGATCTCTTGCCATGTGAAAAAAAAATTTTCAAATCCATTGTTTAGATGGGAGAGTAGCATAACTTTATGTATATGAAATTGATATGATCAGATTTGTATTTTGTGTTTCAGACTATCTTTTTTTTCATTGAATCTATTGGGGCATTGGTTTGCAAAACCATACCGTTTTCAAGTGTACAACCCAACAAAACATCATCTGCACACTGCATCTTGTGCCTGCCGCCCCAAGCAAAGTCTCTTTCTATCCCCACTCCCCGCCCCCACCTTTGCCCACCTCCTTCTACCCTGATGACAGTAAGGAGAAACCACTTAAGTGCAGAGAATCAGGGACACAAGATAAAGTGGAGAGAGGCCAGCTCCATGCTTTCCTTCTTTTTCATAGGCACTCTTTCAGCCCCTGTCTATCTCTGTCTCTGTCTGTCTCTCTTTTGATTCCATCAGACTTTCTTATTATTTAAGTTTTTTAAAAAGTTCAAGGTGCCTGAGTATTATTCACGTCTTACTTGTTTTCCATCGTATCTGTATATTAAAGCTGGCTATGCTTGCTCTTAGTTTAATCATGGCATGACTTACTTAAATGTTGACACTGACCTTCCATCCTAATACTTTGGACATCTTGTGGCTCTTATTCTGTCATTCAAAACCTGCTCACTTCTAGTCAGATCATTTTTAGTCAGGTCCACTTGTCAGAGTTGGCCATGCTAATTTTCCAGGTGTTTTTTTTTTTTTAAGTTACATTTGCAAGTAAAATTAACTTTCACCCAACATTTATTCTCTCCAGGTCTCCTCTCAATTCCCCCTCTTGGACAGTCTTGGAAGATTAAGAGTAGTAGGAGTTAAAGGATTTTCTCAGTCTTGGGAAATTTAAAATTTCAGGCCGACTCTGTAGAAGGGAATTTATTGCCATGGCCTTTGTTGCGGGTGGGGGCAGTCATTCATGGTGTCCGTCTGGCTCTGTGTGCACTGGGGGAGACACTCGGGGATGTGAGGAGGAGACTGGTTTTCTTCTTCCCCATTCACGCTGCTCTTCACTGTTTCCCAGTAAAGGCTTTTTAATCAAACAACTCAGAAAAAATGGCCTGTCTGGGGTAGGTCAGTGGGGCATGGAGACTGGAATTCTAGAAAGGGAAGATAGGATTGGAGGGTGGGAGGCACCAGTAAGCATGAGAGTTGCAGTGGGTCAGTAGAGTTCAGTACCAGCAGTACCAGCAGGTTTAGCAGCATGAAGTGGTAAGACAGAGACCAGCATCAGTTCAGTTGCACAACAGACTCATTGAGCCCATTTTCTGCTCAACGGGGAGCCAGGGTTCAGAGATACAAGGTAGCTGGGGAACCCCTGGAGGCTTTGCGGTATAGTGGAATCATATGCACAAACCAACAGCCTAGATATGGACTTGGAATCTGCTTACCGAGAGGGGAGCCATGGCAGAGTCCAGCTGCTAATGTCTTGGAAGCCGTTAGGATTCAGCCAGATGGACACAGGCCGGGGTGTGGAGCACAGGCATGGGCAGGCAGCACACCTCCCCAGAAACAGAGTCCTTAGGGAGCGGAGGGCAGTGGCTAAGTGAGCTTGACTTATAACAGCAGCTCACTGTCTCTGTGCTTCTTACCAGGGGCACACTGACCCCGTGTTTGGATGAGTCATTTCGAACCTATGCCTGTGAACACGAGTCCTAAAGTAGGAAGCAAGAATGTAGGTCCTAGACCTACCCTGTGGCAAACTCTGGGGCCAAGATCAAATCATCTTTTTTTTTTTAAATAAATATATTTTGATTCATTTCAGAGAGGAAGGGAGAGGGAGAGAGCGAAACATCAGTGAGAGAGAATCATTGATCAGCTGCCTTCTGCATGCCCCCCATTGGGGATTGAGCCCAAAACCAGGGGGTGTGCCCTGATAGGGAATCAAACCGGGACCTCCTGGTTCATAGGTCGATGGTCAACCACTGAGCCACCCAGGTTGGGCCATCTTTGTTTTAACTGTCCCTCCCAGTGATTCTGACACTGAAGTGTGAGAAATTCTAGAATATTTGAATCATTTTCCCTCCAACTTTTTTATCCAAGGGGAGGGGTGTGACGTCATACTGCCAGGAAAGATCACTTATTTTTACCTTCCCTGATTGACACACTGTAGTCACAGCTTTTTTGGAAGGAAGCTTATTTTTTTAAAAGGAAGATTAATCCTAAAAATACCTCCCATGTCAAGATGGAGGTTGAAGGAAACTGGACTGTTAATAAAACGCAGTTTCATTAGGATGTTTTAAGGACACTGCAAAAATATCTCAGGTTCTCCATTGAGTTCTTTATCCTTCAGTAAATAATTTCTCAATTACTGCCATCCAAAATAAATATATAAATTTCTTGTTCCATAGCATTGAATTTCATGACTAATATCATATAGGCATCGCCTTAGCATTTTTCATTGCATTACCCATTAAGTAGTCTCTTGTGTCCTTGCTGAGGAAGGTAATTGCCGTTTGTAATGTTCTTCCCATTAGAAAATATATTTTTAATTCCACACAGCTGACTTGTAATTGAATGTACGGCGTACAGCTTGCAAGCTGAGAGGGTCTTAGATGTAAAACTCAGTGAAATATAAAGATACTCTGCAGTAGTGCTGTTTCATAGTTGCTTATAGATATGGGCACATTTTTAGGGTCCTTAAATCATTCATTTCAATTGTGCATCTCACCTAACAGGCACGCGATAAGTGTTTTTGGAAGTGCACCATGCCCTTGTCTTTATCTTGTAGATACTTTGAATCAGGAATATTAAGTGGCTTTCTGCAGAATAAACTACCAGAGTAGATGAAACCTAGCTCCACTCAGTGTCCTTTTCGCTTTATCAACAAATTCAAGCCGGTTCTCAATCTAAATGAACACCCATTATCAGTACCTAATACCATTTTAAGTAGATATAGCTATAATGAAATTGTTTCCCAAAGAATCGATGGTAATTGCACCATTTAAAGCTCAGAATTGAGACAAGAGAAGGAACAGAGCCCAGAAATGCTTGTTTAAGCAACAACTCACAAGATGATGCCTCATTTTCTTAAACAGTAAAAACCTAGAAATAAAAGGAAAATCAGCTAGAACTTTTTTTTTTAAGTCCTGCAAGATTAAATACTTAGCTTTAATCGTCTGAGAAGCGTGAGACTAGCAGACACGGATAAAGATTTGTATTGCTTAAGATTCTTTTATCAAAAGTTGCATAAGAAAGGGGAGGCAGAACTATGAGATTACAGAACCCCAGGATTACCCAAGCTATGGAATATCTAAGTGAAAAACTTAGCGAGTAGGTTTCAGTGCTGTGGCCTTATCATTTCTCATCAGATTGACACTTTTTCTTCCAGCCAATCGATGATTCTCTCTCATCATTGATGTTTCTCTCTCTCTCTCCCTCTCCCTTCCTCTATGAAATCAATAAAAATGCTTTTTTTTTTTTTAAAAGAAGGTGTAAATTCTCAACTATAGGAAATAAAATGGGAAGAAAATGTGATAAAAATAGTTTTGAAAGTTTGGTTTAGAAAATGTGTTCTCATTCTTTTATCAAAATTTAAAGCAGTGAATAGATCTAAATCTAACAACTGATAAAAGTAAAGCTTCATTGTTTTAGGGTTTTCTTGCAATATAATTTACATCCCCTGGTAAATGATGAAAATCATGCCATCCTTTTTGAAGGTTATAGAACTTATCAGTTATGTCCCAATTAAAATGTAATCTCCAGATTAAGATGTAAAGTTGTGTTCATTGTCCTTGGTGTGAAGAAAAATAGTGAAGAAAGAATACAATATGGGGGGGGGGGGCAAAAGTAGGTTTACAGTTGTAAGTACTCAAAACAGAATTTATTCTTGTATTATTATTTATTTGCATTATACCTGTAAACCTACTGTTGCCCACCCCTGTATTCACTAAACTTTTCACATAGATGGAAAGGAAAAGGGTTTATGGATTGAGAAGAGAAAATATTGAGAAAGTAGCATTTGATGGGAACATTTGCTAAGATTTTGGAGTGATGGGAAAAAAATAATCGAGCCATTACATAGATACTGTTAGAGGATATCTAGGTAATGGCCCAGTTATTTTTTATGGAGCCTAAGTGATAGATCTCTGAAGTAAAAGCTCACTCAGTTGTGCTTTCTTTACTTTGAAAACTTCTAAGTATTTAAGGAATGAAGTTAGAAAGCATTAAGTTTCAGATGTTTTTGAGGAGATAAAAGTTCCAGCATTTATTTTGATAATTTGCTCTCTTTTTTAAAAAAAATAATACATTTTTATTGATTTTTTAGGGAGAGGGGAGAGAAACATTGATCAGCTGCCTCCTGCACGCCCCCTACTGGGGATCGAGCCCCAAACCCTGCCATGTGCCCTGACTGGAAATTGAACCTGTGCCTTCCTGTAAGGACATGGGACAACACTCAACCACTGAACCACACAGGCCAGGGCGATGACTTGCTCTCTTATCCATCATGTTAGATGTTGGTTGAGATGCGATGGGGCTCTGTTCCCTCCCTTTTCCCAGCATAATTAACTGTGTAGGTCATCTAGGGACTTGTATCACAGACAGCAGGGTAGGTTCTCATGTGTGCACTTCAGTTGTATCTTGGGTCATTTTACAGGAGTCAGTGCTTGAAACACAAAGGGCACTATAAGGAAGCAGAGTTAGTGTGCACGTGTCAGAAGTAAGCGAGAGCAAGGATTGTTGCCTCTCCCGTGCCCTAGTATCTCTCTTGAGGTAGGTAAGTATCTTGGAGATGTTGAAAGGAAAGGTTTTGTCTGATACCTGGCTGCTGTTTTTTGAATATTAAATGTATGAAACCTTCATTAACCAAGAGAACTGATTGAAGACATCCTGCCCCCCCTCTTTCTCCTTAGGGATCTGACAAACAATCGGATAGGATGTCTGAATGCAGACATATTTCGAGGACTCACCAATCTGGTTAGATTGTAAGTACATCTTTCTTCCCTATCCTATATAACAAAAGCCTAATATGCAAATCAACCAAACTGCAGAACCACTGGTGGAACCACCAGTCGCTATGATGCATACTGACCCCCAGGGGGAAGACGCTCAACACAGGAGCTTCCCCCAGCTCGAAGGCCCCAGGCCAATCAAGGTGGGTGCTAGCGAGGGGCCCCCCCCGCCCGATCTCACAGATTGGTCCTGATTGCTGACCAGGCTTAGGGACCCTACCCGTGCACGAATTTCGTGCACCAGGCCTCTAGTTAAGATATAAGGAAACATTTGAATCGGTATCCAAGTATTTATAAATGCCTGTGCCATGTTTAATATTCAAATAGTAATGGTACAGTAAAAACTGAAGTAGGTAGAGAATAAGGAGGTTGGAATTGAGTCACGGAGGTACTTTATAATGTCATCAGAACATAATATCGCATTACTGCACACGCAGGGACACACACAGACACATGGTGCACTGTATGCTCCAGGGAACATGCTAGTATGGAGAAAGATGATTGAAAGCTTTGATATTATGGGGAAATTTTTTGGAAGAGGTAAAACTTCAGTTTATGACCCAAAGGATTGGAGACATTTGGATCTTTAGAAAGGAAAAGAAGCGGAGCAAATGATGGTTGGAGGTGGAAATAAGAGCGAGGTCTATTTGTTAAGGAGAAGGTGAGTGGTATTATGAGTAAAATGACCATTTGAATCGTGCCTGTGACCTGCAGAATTCCCATTCGGTATCCACTCTTAGAGGCTCCAAAGGAAAAAGGCATCTTTTATTGTTCTTTTAATTTGCAGGTATTCTTTTTTATTTGCTTGCTTTTTTTAGTTCCTAGGCAATTCTGTGAGGATCAGAATCGTTTTATCGAACTTTTTATATCCAGAGACATTTATAAAACCCCATCCAGTGAGGTTCTGATTGAAGTTCATTATATATTCTTTGGCAAAGGATTGGCATTTGTGTAATAGCAAGTCAGCAGGAACTCATTGCTGCACGTGTCATGGGAACAGCTGATCTCTCCCAGATCAATTCTCTTCCTCTTCCCACTGGGGAATCCATGTGCCCCATCATCATCTTCTCCCCCACTTGACACATTCAACCCAGACTCCGAAGGCCTCCTGGGAGGTCCTAGGACTTCTTCCTTGAGAACTCCAGGTCTACCAGGACAGACACAGAACAGATCTTGTGGTGGGTGGGTTATGCTGCCATTCTCCCAGAGCCCTTGGTCCCCTTGAGTGTCAGAAACCTTCTGCACATGGGCTCCACATCCTGAGCAGTCAGCCACCACCATTGAGCACCTACTGTATACCTCAGCATGTTACTAGCTGCCAGAGGTACCCCAATAAATAAAACACACGGGTCCCCTCCCCTGCTGGGGTTCATAGTCAAACCTGGAAGAATCATTGTGGGTATAACATACTACTCAGATTGTAGCATGGGGTGTTTGGGTTTTAATCCATATACAATGCTGCAAGGGTGAAGACAGTCATGAAAGCCACCTGGTGCAAGGAAAAGCAAGAGAAAAGGCCAACACTGAATCTTTCATTTTAAACCCTGCACTCTTTCCACTTTGCTGATGTTTTTACTCAGTCACTGTGAGTTGCTGCTAATCATTCCGGCCATACTTTTTCTTTTGTATTTTAGAATTTTTGCTTTCTTAAATGATATAGAGTAATTCTAGTTGCAATGACAGCATGACTAAAGATCTGGTTTAGTGAGGTAACCTTCAGGCTCACCTGATATTTTATAGAAAAATCCTTATCTAACAGAAATAATGTTTAAATATTTACTGCTTTATACGAGGCTAAGAGCAATTTTCTTTTACAGCCTTGGAGAAATATTTGCTAATTGTTCCCTCTTTATAAGATTTAAAACAACTTTTATACATTCTTTGTAATATTTCGTGATTATAGGGCACTTTAGGAAATATGAAATAGTACACAAAGATATCTTGGTTAGTATTTTTTAAAGTGAAATCATTTCCTTTTTCCCCCCAGAAACCTTTCCGGGAATTTGTTTTCTTCATTATCTCAAGGGACTTTTGATTATCTTGGCTCATTACGATCTTTGTAAGTAAGAATTTTTTTTTCTTCTCTCTCTCTCTCTGTCTCTCTGTCTCTCTCTCTCTCTTAGGTTTTGAAAATTAAAACAGTTATTACATGGTTTAAGAGAGTTCATGGGAAAATCTTGTGATATTTGCAGAAATTAGAATCTTTCTTGAGAGCTTGCATTCACATTGAAAAACATACTGTAAACCTTAGTATAATACATTTCAGATGGGGGCAACCATTTTCTCTTTAGAATATTATATGTGAAATCTGTATTTCAAGGTAATACATTGGTAATTCTTTCTCTTTGACTTTGTTTTCAAATTAGAAAACATTTTGTTCTTTGACTAATTAAATCCCCTAAGTGCAAAGTATTCCTCCCTCAGAAGGATTTGTGCTTCAGAATCTTTTTTACTTCAGAGATTTAATTTGATCCTATAACCTCTTCACCTACGGAATTCACAACCTATTACATTTCTAGGAGTGTTTATGTAGAATATCTATCTGCTTTATGAAGTCAATATAAGATCATATTTACACAGTTCTCTGTATCTTTAGAATTGATTGAATTTCCCCCCCAAAAAAGTTTTTTAGCTGCGAGATAATTACAAATATTACTTTTGAAAGTAACTGTATTTCCAGATAAACCTTAATATGTTTTAAACATTCAGTTATGCTAATTTCTATCAGACGTACAGTTAAATGTAATGTTTTTCAGATTTTTGTTATATATAGCTCATGAGATTGAGTCTCTTTTCCCATGCTACATCGTCTTCCCTACCCAGTGCCTCTGTTCTATATATGCTGAATTCTTTTCTTTTTCTCCCTTCCCTTCTCCTCTCTTCCCTTTTTTCTTTTTTTAATCCTCACTTGAGGATGTTTTTCCATTGATTTTTAGAGAGAGTGGAAAGAGAGGAAAAGACAGGGAGAAACATCAATGTAAGAGACATGCATCCACATCAATTGGTTGCCTCCTGCATCAGCCCTGACCAGGGCCTGGGCCAGGGAGGAGCCTGCAACCGAGGTATGTGCCCTTAACCGGAATCAACAGGATCCCCAGTCCTAAGCTCTATCCACTGAGCCAAACCCGGTAGGGCTCCTCTCCTCCCTTTCTTTCTTTTCCCACCTCTACCCTTCCCTTTGCCTCGCCTCTGCTTGTCTAAACCTATCATTTAAACCTCATGAAGTACCTTCACTGGGGTGCAGCTAGCAGGTGAGCCATCCGTCTGGCCCCTCCTCCCGTGGTGGTCATAGGTGGGTCCTCCTAGGGTCACATTGGATCAGACTCCATCGGGTCTCTTCTCATCCAGAGCTGCTTTTTAAGGAAAACACCTCCTTTGGGCATCGTTAGTGATGTTCAAGTCAGTCTTTGCTGTGAAGTTTAGGAAATAAGAAAAACCGCAAAGAATAATCTGGCTCTTGAGACCTTGGGTAGCAGGAATGTGGGAAGCCTTTTCATCCCCAAATTGGGTTAAATCGCCAGTGTTTTTACTTGGTAGTTTCAGAAAGTGACCAGAGGCTGGCGATTAGGAATTAGAAATCAGTCCAGTCATTCTTTGGGTACTTTTTTAAAAGTTACTTTCTCTTTGCTTTTGTTGTCCCAACTCCCCCCACCCCCACCCCTCCTTTTTTATTGCCAAACCTGAGACGAAGCCTGTGCCAACGCACAGTCTGTGTTAGAAGCACAAGTGGTTATGTTTGCTCTTTGCACTGTGTCAATTTATTTGTACAGACCATGTGGCACACTCGTTTAGTTATATTTACATTTGTTCCCCGGTTACATAATGCCCTCCAGGTTAGCAGAGGACAACTTTTATTAGCTGGACTTAGTGAGACTCACGGCTCATGAATATCTAGTGCTTCGTATAAAAATACTCAAGAAATTATTGCACTAATGTACAAGCTATATATGTCCTCTCTTGGTTTCTTACATCCAAGTGCCAAATTATAACACTTCTTGCCACATATGAAGATAATTCTTGCCGGGCCAGTGAGGCTCAGTGGTTAAGCGTTGACCAATGTACCTGCAGGTCACGGTTCGATTCAAGGTCAGGGCACATGCCCAGGTTGTAGGAGGCAACCAATCAATGATTCTCATTCATCATTGATCTCTCTCTCTCTTTTTTTTTTATCTCTCTTTTCCTCTCCCTTCTCTGAAATCAATAAAAATGTATTTTTAAAAAATATAATTTTCTGTTTCCTTTCATATTAAATCTTACCTTTGTGATGGGTTTGAGTGTGAATCCCTTAAGTTTGTAAATGATTACGGTATCCCTTGGCACATAGCAGACAGTGTCAGAAAGGACCCCATCCTTGAGGGGCTTACTCTCCAGTCAGCTGATGAGTATGACCGTGTGAAACCATCATATATTGCTTTATGTTGCTCAAATTCACAGGACAGTTGGCAGGCAGTTAGCCAAGAACATGGAGGTGATGGCTGGGAAAATTGGAGTGGCTTCACGAGGCAGTATTAGTGCTACATGTTTTAAGATGAATTGGTAAGCCTCTGATAGGCAAAAAGCATGGGGCTTTGGTATTCCAAAACCCTGGGTTTATGGAGCTTATTGCATAGGTGAGGGCTGATGCATAGATTTTGTTCAAGTAGCAATTTGGGTTGAAAGCAGCGTGAGTCCCCAGATCCGTGGGCGGCCGTGCTGGAGTCAGACCCTCCGCACATCATATCCCTGGAGAGGAGACCATATCCAGTCGATGGCGGAGGTCACCGGTGGGGTGAAGGTGAATACACCACCCAGAGCCTAAGCCACCATAAAACCAAAGTGCTGTCTCCTTTTATTCACCGTAATCTCTAATCTGTATTGTGGTTGCTACAGAGAATTTCAGACCGAGTATCTTCTGTGTGATTGTAACATCCTGTGGATGCATCGCTGGGTGAAGGAGAGGAACATCACTGTGCGGGACACGCGGTGCGTTTACCCGAAATCCCTGCAGGCCCAGCCGGTCACGGGCGTGAAGCAGGAACTGCTGACATGCGGTAAGCGGGAAAGAAAACACAGAGAGCATTTACTGTAACTTACTTGCCACCACATTTTCCGTGACAAACTGTAAAATTCCCTTTACATGTTGATGGAACTGAATGCCGCCGTTAATCTTCATGGATTCAATAATATTTCGTTGATGCCAACAATTAAGTCAGCTCGGTTGGAATTTAAGGTTCTTAGGCTCTGAACAGCTTTATGAAAACCAATTTCAAAGAATAGCAGAGATCTTCAGATTTTCTGTCAGTTGACAGATTAGGGATTTGTTGATAGTAATAAACTCTCAGGATGCAATCACTGTTTGTTGGTGGGGGCGTGAATTGATACAGCCTTTTTAAGTATAGTTTGGCAAAACATACCAGTGCTCTTAAGTAGCTGATACATTTTCATCCAGTAATTCTGTATGTAAAGGTGTATTCCTAAGAAATGTGTGTTAAATGAAAAAACAAAAATACACATCAAACAAAAAAACAGTCCTAAGGTGATAGGAGGAGATTTCGACTTAGTCTTTGTGTTTGGAAACAAACAATCCTATCATTTTTTTCATTTTCTCTTTATTATCATTTTTATTGTTGTTTCACAGATGCAATGTGCTCATTGGGAAAAAAATTAAGATTCATGAAAATAAATAATGTATGTGTATGTCAAATCATCATGATGTACACTTCAAATATTTTATAACTTTGTTAATTATACCTCAATAAAGGAAACAACTAAAAGCATCAAACAAAACCCATACTGCATTTTTATCACTCCCAGAGATATGTTGATTTATTGTCTCCTTCTTTTTCCTAGGCTTTGACTGAAATATCATATTTTCATGCTCTTGTAACCTTTTTTAACTTGAAATCATGTAAACTTATTTCCTCATCATATAAAATAGATGCATACCAATCCATTATATAAATGTAGTGTAACTTGACAACTTCCTTATTACTGCATATTTAGTTTGGTAATAATTTCTCACTCCATAAACAGTACAAGGATTAATTTCCTTCCATACATTTTTGCATACATACAATTTTCCTTTTGGATAGACTACTAAAAGTAGAATTGTTATGTCAGACAATGGACCAAGTATTTTAAAGGCTTTTAATGAGCCCATGATTCTTGAATACTTTTTTTCATATATATTTAAAATTTCTCCCTTTTGTTTTTCTGAATGAAAGGAAATATATCAGCTCTTAAAATGTGATTATAATATGTGGAATCTTAAAAGATTTTTCCTCCTTTTTCTTTAAATATTCTAAATTTTCTGCAATGAGAATGCATTACTTTTATAACCAGAAACCAGTGGTTTAATCAAAGGTAATACAGTCTCCAAAAAGTATTTTTAAATTGTATCTATATCAGCATTCTTTTTGTTACCATTTCCCTTCTCCAGATTTAAGTATCATTTAGTTAAATATCATTTTATAATTTGTTCTTTTATTTATTACTAGAGGCCCATTGTACGGATTTGTGCACCGGTGGGGTCCCTCCGCCTGGCCTGCGGCGATTGAGCCGAAACTGGCTCTCCAACATCCCCCGAGGGGTCCTGGATTGCGAGAGGGCGGTTCTCGGGTGACGCACCCCAGAATCGGGCTCCTCCTCTCTGGTTCCAGGTGTGTCACCTGACAACTGTAGCTGCCAACTCACTGCAACTTGGCAGTGCGCATCATAGCTACTGGCTGGTCAGCCAGTCGGCAGGTTGCTTATGCTTTTATATATATAGATTATTTATTTACTTACTTATTTAATGATTTTTGTTAATCCTCACCAGAGGATATTTTTCCATTGATTTTTAGAGAGAGTGAAAGGGAGGGAGAGAGACAGAGAGAGAGAGAAATATTGATGTGAGAGAGACACATTGCCTCCTGCAAACGCCCCGACCAGGGCTAGGGAGTACACCTGCAACTTAGGTACGTGCCCTTGACCAGAATCAAACCCAGGACCCTTCAGTCTGAGGGCTAACACTCTATCCACTGAGCCAAACCAGCTAGGGCTACAATTTGTTCTTTTAGTACTGCTTCTGTGGCCATCTCGTCGTCGTGATACCACCAAAAAGGAACCACTCTGAAAGTCAGAACTGATTACAAAATGGTTTTGTTTTAATTTTGCCAAATTTGTTTTCATCTGGGATCCACTTATCTCAGGAGCAGCCTTGTTTGTGCTAGTATTAATGTGTCATTGTTGAGGAATGTTTGTTTTTCCATTGTTAAAGTTTTAATTAGAATTTCCATAACTTTTTATTCTGGCGCCTGCATATAGTATTGTATTTGTTTACTGAGTTTGTTTTACTATCTCTAGATCCTCCCCTTGAATTACCCTCTTTCTACATGACTCCATCTCACCGTCAAGTCGTGTTTGAAGGGGACAGCCTTCCCTTCCAGTGTATGGCTTCGTATATTGACCAGGACATGCAAGTGTTATGGTATCAGGATGGGCGGATCGTTGAAACTGATGAATCGCAAGGTATCTTTGTTGAGAAGAACATGATCCACAACTGCTCGTTGATTGCAAGGTAAACCTTTTTAAAGTCAAAAACTGTTTTCTGTGGATTTTATTTATTGTTTGAGAATTGTAATGTTTAGTTGGCGTTTGAGTCAATATTTTATCTTCTTGCATTTAAAAATGCAGACATATGGTTTCCTGATTGTTACTCATCTTGTAAAATTAAGTAGCTATCTTTCCATCCAGTTTTTTTTTTTTTTGAGGGGTGGGGTATAGGATAAAAGAGAAACACTGTTGAAAAATTAGAGACATTTTGTTTAAAGTTTTAGGAGGAATGCTGTAAACTTGTAGTGTCAAACTTAATTTCTACCTAATTCCTGCTGCTAAGCTCAGAGTTTCACTTTTAGGAATCACCTAATTTTCACTGTTTTATGATTAATGCTACATTTTAAGATACTTCCTTTCTCTACCCCACTGGTATAAAAGAATATATCACCTGTCTTGTTAACCCCATGGCTGGTGTGAGCACCAAAATACTTAATTCAAATGAACTTTTTAAAGTGTAAAAAGCAGAGTAAACATATATATAATATTATTGCTCACCATATATTTTACTTTAGTAAAATCTTTATCTGTAGACATTGGATTCTCTCTCTCTCTGACTCCTTCTTTCCTTCCTATCAATTTCTTAGTAGGAATTTTAGAATTCTGCTTGAATTTTAAAGAATAAATCTGCAGTTTCCAAACTCTGCTGAGTCACCCTAGGGTAGTATCACAACAGACCTATAGAAGTCACATGAAAAAATCAGAAACTGAAGGTTCTCTTAGTTCAAATTCATGTCTTGGAATTGTGGGGTAGGCTATTCTATTTTATAATTTGGATCTCTACTGAGATTTCCTATCTGATTATTAGAAGCATATTTTCATTTATGTCTTTTAACATATTTATAGCAGATGCTTTAAAATCCTTTCCAGGCAGTTCTAACATCTGGGTCATCTTGGGATCATCACTGACTACTTTTCTTTTGACTATGGCTTATATTTTTCTATTTGAAAAAATACATATTATTTATATGTCTAGTAATGTTGGATTATTTCCTGGACATTGCGAATGATTCACTATAGAGAAGTCAGTCACCTATAACCTCTGGGCTAAATCTGGCCTGCTGGGCCTGTGAGCTAAGAATAATTTTAAATGGTTATATGTTTAATTGTTACAGAAGTACCTATATAATATCCTCAATTTTGCTTCTTGGCCTTTGAAGAAAAAGTTTGACCCTTGACTCCAGATTTTGTTCCGTTCACGTGAAGGGAGCTGATTTTTTGTTTCCTCAAGCAGTTAGCTTGGCTGAATCCAAACCCCTTTCTGTGACAGGCAGCTGCTGATATCTACGTGCATCTACCCTATCTGTGTGTAGATGAGGGGTCAGCTAGAGATCTGGGTAGATTTTATATGCAGACATTTGGGCCTAAAGCCAGGCTCCTTTCTACCTTTGTCCTGTGATTTTTCAACACGTCGGATTGTGAATTTCTATTTGAGGAGGGCATGTCCTTGGACAGAAGCCATTAAAAACAATTTTATGATTACCCCCCAGGGCCAATGCCTTCTTCCTAGTGTCGGCTCCTCTCTGGTTACTGCTTGCTTTGTATCATTCAGTGAATTCAGAGAGTTGTCATTTTGTTGTTTGTCCAGAGCTGGTACCTAAACTGCAGGGAGGGTGGTCTGATAGGAGCTGTCTTCCGCAGAAGCAGAGTTCCTTCGTTAGAAGCAGTATGTTAGTCCCAGTGAGAAAACTGGTTGTCATATTGTTTTTACTGTGCTGATAATTTCATACGTGTCTACGTATGTTAAAACGCAGTGTAAGCAGTGACTATATGAATGGACCAAAATTGGCATATGATACAACAGTAGAGTTTTAAAAATACAGGGGCCCCATTTCTAAAGAAAAGAACTTTGATTAATGTAGAACCCTTAATTTTGATGATTGTAAAATAACTAGATTAATATGATCAATTTATTTTTACAAATCATACCTTATTTGAAATTCTTTCTGGAAGTGCAGAAATATGCTAAGGATAGCAGCCTTGCCTAATATTTTTGTGGGCAGGGACACTTGACTAAAGTGAAAATCTTTCGTGTGAAGACCGAGAAATCCTTTACCCAGGGTTAACTCAGAAGAATAAGTTGTAGAAAAAGGAAATATGGTTATTGAATTGGTCTCTGAGACACCTGTTCATTCTTCATTGGTCTCCTCATGTTATTGATCCTTGATCGGTAAGACTGAGAATTTCTAGTTTTCCTCAAAGATGAAATTGAAGCTGCCTTTTTTTCCTTACATTCCAAGTGTGCTGCCTTGAGGATGCCTGAAAATTTTATTCCGGTGATTGGTTTTCGACATTGTAGTTATGGCTAAAAGTTACCTTAAGAAATATTTACAAAATATATTAGGACCATAGCTCCCAGCAGGTGTGTAAGGTACCCAGGACACCATGTGAGTTTACAGAGGTGCCAGGGGTATGTTAGGTTTCTGAGGAACAATAGCGATACTCGACATTTGTCGGACACCACACAGCTACCAGCTCCAGGCAGTTATGCTGTCACCATTAAGTCATGCTGAGTTCCTTTTGCTAGTGTCATACTTTGGGACGTAGGGTTTTTGTCGATTACTTTGCTACAAAGCAAGTACCAAGTGAAAAATCACTGTGGAACAAGAAATAAGTATATCATTATCCAATCTGTATCTGATGTTTGATTAATTTTATAATGCCCGACAGGTACACACAGGCCATTAGATATAGTTGTTATTTAAGAATGAAATGTTTCTTCCAAATTGATGTGTAGTATTTTTTCAAATGGCTAGTACATTATTAGGACCTAGATGCAGATTTAACTTGGTAATTGGAGACTGCGCCATGAGAAAGTTACCTCGTCAGTGAAAGGGCTGTGAACCAAGAAGGTTTGGGAACCTATTCGATCCCAGATTGCCAATTCTTTTATACACTTCTTCCTAGTTCAGTAGAGTCATATGAACAGAAAGTGTGATAAACTTTCTGGTTACTTAAATTCAATGCCAGATTCATTTGTGTCACTTTATTTGGGAATCAATTAATTACAGTGTATTGATTTATTTACTGATAGTAAAGAGAACATTGTCTTTGATTCAGAATAATAGTGCCTCGAAGTCTTCATTAGAACATTTGTTGTTGTGTAGCCATTGATGACTTAGGAGACTGGAAAAATGTGTATTAAACTCCAAGACATAATTTTGTAAGTTACTTCAATGATACTTTATGTCTAATTACTTATCATTTGTATCTACTTAGAAGCAAAGCCTAATTTGTCCTGTGGGGGTGGGGAGTAAAGGTTAATTAAATGTTCTGACATTTGCTCTTTAATGACTAGGTTTTGTATTAGAGAATTGTGACTTCATCTTGCAAATCAAATTTCCTGATAACTGTTGAGATATGTAGCCGTTTTGGAAATTAAAGTATACCTTTATGTGGAAACTCCTTTTGTTAAGCCATTAATTAGTGATTTGCTACCTCTTTTTAGAGACTTAGCAAGTTATTTCTTGTATAACCCTTTTTCCAAAGACTATTTTACCTTAAATGTTTTCATAATTACATACTTTAAAATATGAATCTTCTTTGTTCATGCTTGAATCTTTTCCTTAGAATCAGTGAGAAGGTAGATGTTGGTTTTGCTTTGGAATGTGCCGCGATGTTTCTGCCTTTGCACTTGCTGTCCCCTCTCCCTGCTGTGCCCTGCTCTCCCTTTTTCTGGGAGAAGTCTCAGGCATTATATGCCATTGCACCTTATTCCTACTTCTGTTAGCACCCTTGCCATCATATTTAAGTCTCTTAACCTGCTTGTCCTGACTTGCTGCTCAAGTACTTAAATGGAGGGACATTTTTAAAATGTGTTTTAATCTAACACGCGCGTGGCCCACAATGTCCATTCAGGCGTATTTGCTAAATGAGTGATCGAAGTCCAGGTTGTTTCCCTTTTTGCCTGACCATATTTTCTCTCTTTTTAAAATCTTTCTTCATGCAGTGCCCTAACCATTTCTAATATTCAGGCTGGATCAACTGGAAATTGGGGCTGTCATGTCCAGACCAAGCGCGGAAACAACACACGAACTGTCGATATTGTCGTGTTAGAAAGCTCTGCACAGTACTGTCCCCCCGAGAGGGTGGTAAACAACAAAGGTGACTTCAGGTCAGTGGCATGAAAGTGACTTGCTCCATGTCCCATTTTATCCCCAAAGGCACATAATTTGTCTCCTATTCTCAGTAAGAATATTGGAGAAATGTATATGTACATTTACGTTCAAAGGCTGTTAAATTGCATTGTTTACCCATATCTTCAGAAAAAAATCACTTCTACTGTCGTGGTAAACAACCTGCTTCCCTATTTATAATGGTCTGGCCCTCTAGCAACTTCAGCACGAAATTACAGCTAATTTGCCTACAAATGTCAGGTGGTCATAATAATCTGGCCACTCAGTGTATATAAATGGGGAATATTGCTATATCTATCTATACCTATACCTATACCCATACCTATACCTATACCTATACCTGTACCTAAAGATACCTATACCCATACCTTCACCTACACCTACACCATACCTATACCTATACCTATACCTATACCATACCTATACCTATACCATACCCATAATATACCTATACCTATACCTATACCTATACCTATATCTAACCCATACTCATACTATACCTATACCTACACCTACACCTACATTATACCTATACCTATACCTATACCATACCTATATCTATATCTATATCTATATCTATATCTATATCTATATATTCTTATATATCTAAGGACTGCACTTTAGAAGAACAATGATTTAAGAATCATTTACAAAGATAAAAATACAAATGGCCTGAACTTTTTCTCAAATCTGTTGATTTATGAGTCCTGAAGGTAGAGCTAGAAATGTTCATTTTTAACAGGTGATTTTATTGAAAAAGTTAAGAACTATTACTATGGTAGGGAAACATTTTGGAAATTCTAAAGTACAGAATTCAAACTAATAGTATCTTCCCCCTCACCCCCGCAAAACTTTGCAAACTTTTATATTACTAAGTCACTTTTAACTACTGGCAGTTAAGTGGAACTATAATTAGGAGAAACACATCCAATTTCACTCCCCCATTTTGTTCTTCTTGCTTAGCTGCCAGAAGAATGAAATGGGGGAGGAAATTGGATTTGTGTTTTTTGTTCCTTTTTTTTTTTTTTTAATTCTCCTTGACCTGAGTATATGGAAATTGGCATTCGTTATTGCCAATAGGTAAATCTTTGGGAAATGAAAGCTATTGGGCGGACTGAAACTTGGGAGCCATTGGTATTGGACTCAGTTAACATGAGCAGAACAACTGAAAGACTGCAAATTAAATTTCCTGATAACTATTGTGTTAATTTTTTTAGAAAGTTTAGAATTTGTGAGAGGTAACAACTTTTACCTTAGACTCGTTTACTTTTAAAAAGTTGCTTGAAAACATCCTTAAATTTATTATTTACTCAATGTACTTTATGTTCAGGATTCTAATAATATGTAGTCGATATAAATGAAGGGGAATATGTTGCTTTTAAAAGCAGTGTGAAGATTGTGAATGCCAGTTTGTATTGTTTGTGATTGATACCACTGCTGTCTCCTTCATGTACAGCCCAATTTTTAAGGATAAGAAAATCCTTTGGTGTTAGTCTTTCAAGTCCAAGGTGAAGAAGCCATACAACATCTTTAGCTGAGCTAATTCTTCATTGCTTTTTAAAAAATTGTCTTTTTTTAAAATCTTCTTGACATGAATATGTGGAAGTCAGCATTTATTATTGCTAGTGGATAAGTCCTTTATATTGATTAACTGTTAATCTATAATACTTACATTAAAGTAAAATAGATAACATTTGTTAATTTTGTTATAGTCAAAATATTTCGTTAAATAATTATAATAGTTTCCTGTTTATGGTGGATTTTCTATTTTTACTTATAGTATTTGAGTATTTTATATTTTTAAAAATAGAAGAGAAATCTAATCATTCAGCTGATTAATGAATTACTCATCTTTTGACATGCCTTAAGGTATTAGCATTTAAACTTCCACTGCATTTGTAAGAATTTAGTTTAGTGTTGCTTGATCTATTTATGCCAATTTTTAAAAAATATATATTTCATTGATTTTTTACAGAGAGTAAGGGAGAGGGATAGAGAGCTAGAAACATCGATGAGAGAGAAACATCGATCAGCTGCCTCCTGCACACCTCCCACTAGGGATGTGCCCGCAACCAAGGTACATGCCCTTGACCGGAATCGAACCTGGGACCTTTCAGTCCACAGGCCAACGCTCTATCCACTGAGCCAAACCAGTTAGGGCTATTTATGCCAATTTTGATGATGAATTATATTTTTTGTGACGGGTATAATTTAGCAGTTCCTGTGTTGCCTGTCAGCTCTAACTTTTATCAACTATGTTCAATTTCATTGCCAGTTTTAGAGAAATGGAGCTCAGATAACAAAGATTTTCCCAGCTCAGTTCGTGATGCCCTAGTCATTTGCATAGGGAGGGGCTTCTCCCAGGCAAATTCGGTTTCATACTGTGTTGGGGGCCTTCAAGACCCCTCACCCCAAGTGCAGACATTTGCTAGAAGGCCTACAGGACTCAGCATATAGTTGCAGTGACAGCTAAGGTGTACTATGGTGATGTAGTAAGGTACACAGCAGTGTCACAGGGACCCACGTGCAGGCTCCTCCTTGCTCTCTCCCTCCCATGGGGCTCACGCAGAGCCTACTCCTTCTCCAGCCATGAAAAGGCAACAACCTCTAGCAGTGTTTCTGCCCGGGGAAGCCCATTGGAGTCTCAGCACCCAGAATTCTCACTGCTGGTCATGTGGGCACATAAAGTTTCAGACTTCCAGGAAGAAAGCAGGTGTTCTGCATAACCCATCTGCTCGTGTCAGGAGTCTAGCCACAGTGAGCTGCCCTTACCAGCTAACTGTTCCCGGGCACTCTCTTGGTTCCAAATTCCTAGATTTCACTTGCCACTGAGGGGTCAGTGTTGCAAGCAGGCCTTTCCAGGGACGGCAGTCCTGGCCCTGCCATGGGAACTCTGTTCTGAGTATATACTAGCTCTGCTTCTGCAAAAGGCCACATTCTCATTATCCTGGAGAAGGTTCCTCATGGTTATATAAGTCAACAATATTTTAACAGTAATTAAAAACAAACGCAAAATTCATTGTTGCATCCTTTTTCTTTTTTGCTGCACAAGATACAATTTCCCTGTGTTTATAGCAACTTTTAGAATATTTTATGAAAATATCCTATTCTGTTATGCTTTTAAAATATACTTGGCTGTTAGCTTTAAACTGTTTAGGCCATGTGAACCTTTAAAAAAGTAATTTGGGTCTTTATTCTTTTAAAAATATATATATTTTTATTGATTTCAGAGGGGAAGGGAGAGGGAGAGAGAGATAGAAACATCAATGATGAGAGAGAATCATTGATCAGCTGCCTCCTGCACGCCCCTCCCTGGGGATCGAGCCCACACCGGGGCTTGTGCTCTGATCAGGAATTGAACTGTGACCTCCTGGTTCATAGGTTGGCACTCAACCACTGAGCCACACTGGCTGGACCGGATCTTTAATCTTAAAGGAGTTTTGTTTGTTTCTTCTTCTTGATTTTTCCCCTATGATTGTATGTGGCATGTTCTCTTCCTGGGTTTTCCTCCTCTGTGGCTGTGTGGGTTTCTTACACTGTTTTGCCCTCATGTGCCCAGGTGGCCCAGGACGTTGGCGGGCATCACTGCCTACCTACAGTGCACGCGGAATACCCATGGCAGTGGGATCTATCCAGGGAGCCCGCAGGATGAGAGGAAGGCTTGGCGCCGATGTGACCGAGGTGGCTTTTGGGCAGATGACGACTATTCTCGCTGCCAGTATGCGAACGATGTCACTAGAGTCCTTTATATGTTTAACCAGGTAACTAGAAAGCCTGCTGTTTGCTGAGGTTGCTGATAAAGCATGGTGTTCAGACCATATACGTAAGGTCTCTTTGTTACCTATGAATAAATCATAAGGACTTGGTGATAATACTTCAGTTGACGGATCTGTTTTTTGGAATAAGGTCTTTTCTTCTCAACTGATGATCAAGGCCCTCTGTGGCGTCACTCTTTCCTGTTACTACCTGACATTGTGCCTTTGTCTGAATACCTTTATCGGCTCTGTCCACCAGACAAAATCCCAACCATCCTTCACATCCACCTGGGTAGCCAACTCTTGGGTTCCTTTCTATAGTCCCTTTGTCACAAGTGACCCCTTGTCATACGTGTACCACCCAGGTGCCTTTTCCTGTCTTTACTTCTATCCACCCTTTTTTTTTTTTTTTATCCTCACCTGAGAATATGTTTTTGTTGATCAGAGAGTGAGAGGAAGGGAGAGAGAGGGAAAAAAATTGATGTGATAGAGAAACTGATTGGTTGCCTCCCATGTGCTCCCCAACTGGGGATTGAATCTGCAACCCTTTGGTGTACTGGACGATGCTCCAACCAACTGAGCCACCCAACCAGGGTTCTATGCATCTTTTTAAACCAAACCAGGTTATAAGCACCTGGAAGATAGTTTCTGTTACACATTTTCTTATGATCCTTAGCACCGGTATACCCTTTTTGCAATGATTGGTGCCGAGTCATGTTTAAGTCAATAAATGAATGAATGAATAAATGAATGCATGAATGAATGAATGTAAAAGGTCACTGGCAGTGAGTGCTTGGAGATACAGACAAGTAAGTCAGTGGCTCATACTGCCGTGTGGGGCGGCATTGGTCCTCCCAGCTGGCGTTCTCAGGAAAGGGCTCACTAAGCAATTGGGGTTGCATTTGTGTAGAATTTGGATAAGCAGAGACCAAGAGATGGTGCAGCATGTTTACCTGGTGGAGTCTTATGTATTACATTTCATTCTAAGTTTTCAAAACATTGCACTCAGGTTTGTTTCCACTAAAATTTCATTTTCTAAAGTTTGAATAAGCATGTTAAGGAGGTTATGGTGAGCAAATGATGTAATGTGAATGCATTCCAATGTTATGAAATGCAAAGAAAAATGTCCAAAATTTTGTTCATCCATTTGCTAAGTGCTTCTTCTTACCTTTTCGATGTAGATGCCTCTCAATATTACCAACGCTGTGGCCACAGCCAGGCAGTTACTGGCTTACACCGTGGAAGCAGCCAACTTTTCGGACAAGATGGATGTCATATTTGTGGCTGAAATGATAGAAAAATTTGGAAGATTTACCAAAGAGGAAAAATCAAAAGAGGTATTTTTCTAGTTCCAAGTTGTTAGCAAGTCAACAAGTGGTCACGTGATAGACTTGAATCTTTTTTAACACCTGGTTATGTTGGCTGTATTTGAACTAAATAAACACACTTTCCGTGTTGAAAATTGTCATTGAGAAACTTACGCTCTGTTAGTGACCTTTCATTGCGAGGACTGGAGGTGAACGGTCAGTTCTTGAAAGCAAAGGGATGTGATAGAGCGTAACCTTCCTGTGAGAAGGAAGCTTTGCTCTATGATATCCTTTAGGGTTGGCCAGGGCTGCCTGTGGCTGGCTTTCCAGATTTTTCTTCCCCACACAGCCCCCTCTGTTCCTTCTTCTGCGTAAGCTGTAGTCACCCAGATTGTGTGTTAAGTTGCTTAATTCCTTTGGTAATGTCCTGGAGAAATGCAAGACTGTCCTAGGGACTTTCTTGAAATTTCAAATTATTGGAATAGGCACATTATGAAAATTCCGTGGCTTTGAAAATGAGTGCATTTTAATGGGACCATATTAAAACTATGATATGCTTGTCCACATGGTATCCTGTAGGGGAAACCATTGACTGCAGCAGTTTTCAGAATGAATGAGCAGCAAATCATGCTTTGAATGAATTTGAAGATGCAGATTTAAGTTTCCAGCTACACGGGAACTTTATATAGACTGAGACTGTTTCATTTTTTAAAAATATGTTTTTTTGTTGATTTTAGAAAGAGAGGAAGAGAGAGGGAAAAAAAGATAGAAACACCCCCTGACTGCAAATAGTACTGTGACCTCTTGGTTCATGGGATGGGACTCATCCAACTGAGCCACACTGGCCGGGCATATATATTGTTTCTTTTTTGATGGAATCATGAATTTTAGTAGAATAAACCTAGATCAAGTCATAAACTGAAGCCCAAAGAAAATGAAATCATTTAGCCAAGGTTATCCAGCTAGGGTAGGGCAGGGCTGGAAACAGAGACCAGAGCCTTGCTGTCTAATCCAGAAGTTTCCTGCAGGTTCACATTTACTTTCTAGCACAATGTTGCCCTGTCCTAATATTCCAGAAGTACTCAGCATACAGTGGTAGGGAAAATACTGTGCTAAACAAAGTCTATGTGTAGGCCTCTCAGATTCATATATATTGAAAGATAAAAAAAAAAAAATAAGCCTTGTTTTCCTAAATCATTTAATAAGCAAGGAAAATTTTTGGTAGAATATCTATTAATATCTTGCATTTTGGAGATAAGTTTTGAAAATGCAGCCCCAGGTCATCGGGTACTCTACTGGATATGATGTAGCTTATAAAGGATTGAAAATAGCTCAGCCAGCATGGCTCAGTGGTTGAGCATCTACCTATGAACCAGGAGGTCACGGTTTTATTCCTGGTCAGGGCACATGCCTGGGTTTCGGGCTCGATCCCCAGTAGGAGGCATGCAGGAAGTAGCCAATCAGTGATTCTCTTATCATTGATGCTTGTATCTCTCTCCTTCTTCCTTCCTCTCTGAAATCAATAAATCCTAAAAACAAGGAGCGGGGGGGAAGGAACATAGATATGTGTGTGTAAATGGGACTTGGGTAAACGTTTCAGTGTTGTTATCTGAACTTCAGACCACAGTTTTGTAGTGAACTGTCCTGCACTTTGATTGTGCCTCTGGGCCACAGCCTGCTGCCTGTGTGAGTTTTCTCAGCCCTGGGAGAAGCTGCCTGGCTCTGGCCTGTGGTAATACTGCTCTCCATTCTTGATTATAATCACAGTTTAGCTGCCCACATGATTACGAGCCATTCATGGAAGTGGGATGTTTCCAGTCACTGGAGTAATTGGAATGACATTTGCAATGTGGACATTGAAAAAGATTTTGCCATCATATATATGTATTCCCATGCCTCTCTGTTTTGATGTCGGGGACTTTGGCTCACCTCCCCGCTCCTGAAGAGCAGTGCTGTGCCCAGAGGTGTGCATTTCACCACGTTTGCCCATGTGTGGTGGGAATGGTCTGCTGCTTTGGAATGTGCGTAGGGGAAAGTGTCCTGTTGATGACGGAAAGTGAATTTTGTTTCATGAGTTATTAATTAATCATGGGCCCTTTATTTTTAAAATGGGGATGACGCTTGCCCTGCTTAACTTCAAAATGTGTGCGCACAAGTGAGAAAATACAGGTGAAACTATTATGTGCAGTAGCTGCAAAGCTAGGATGTGATTTTGTAGGTTTTGGAAATTTAACATTCTTATGATCTCAGAAGATAAGAGTGAGGGTCTTTCTAAAAAAAATATCATCAGAATGCTTTAGTGACTTGAAAACCTTGGTTTGATGTAGATTCCTGTCACTTTCACTGGTTGGCCTGGGAGGTAAAGATTGAATTATCTTTGAAAACAAATGATGTAGAAAGGAGAAACAGGAACAATATTCAGGATTGAATAACTGAGGTATAAAGGTACTATTATTACTCATGGTGCATTGACAGGCATCCTACCTGATTCTTTGGAAAGTTAAACTGAAGGCTGTAGCTTTCACTGTTTATTAGTCTAATAAAATGAAATTATGAGGGTTAAGGGAGGCACCATTTTAAGTTAATTACAAAAGCGTAAAATTATACTAAGGTATCCTAAAATGCATATGGCTTAAATTGGACAAATAATTAAATTGATTTTTGTTTTATATCCAAAAAGTTGCTCTGCTCTGCATAATTTCACAGCTGAGATATTGTGAGGCAGTTGCCTTTGTAACCTGGGATTGGATCTGGCCGACCCAAGCCGGTGCTCTGTGGTGAGGGCGGATACTAAACACTACCAAACGGCCAGGTCCACGTGGTGTGTTCAGTGGGGCCTTTTAAAAACAGCTGAAGGCTGCCAGTCAGGCAGAGAAGCATCTGTTCCATGTTTAGGAGTGTGATGAAAGCATCACGTGCCCATTTCAGAAGATGAGAAGGTAGGAGAGATTACTCTGGTTGTGTGGTGGTCCCTGTCCTGTGCTCTAGTTCCAAAGTGGAAGTGAGGCAGCTCCTAGTGTTAGTTTACTACGCAGCTTGTTGGGCACATGTTTATGCACAGGTTTAAAAAATGTAAAGTCTTTTATTTATTCGTTTTAAAACATAGTCACTTCTGTATCAGCTGTTGTATTTTCTTTTTACTGTTTTCAATTTTTTTTTTCTTCTTGATCTTGCTTGTCAGACTTGTTTGTATTGTTCAGCTTTGCAGAGACCCAGCTGCTGGCTTTGTGATCCTTTTCAGAGCACTGTCTTGCAAACTTCACCCTGCCTCTGTGTCACCTGGGGGGTTTGTCAAGCAAAATTTACATATCTAGTTAAGTTCCAGGCGATGCTGGACAGCATGTCTCTGAGAAAGGCACAGGCTTTGACAACCACTATTATGTGTTCACTAGAGGCCCAGTGCATGAAATTCAATTTTCAGTATTTACCAGATGTATTCCTTTCATCCATTCATTTCCTTTGCCCTCCATCCCTCTCTCCTTTTTCCTCTTCCTCCCTGTTTGTTCATTCAGTTCCTTCCTTCCTTTCTTTCTCTCCTCCACCCCTTCTCTTTCTTTCTCAATGCTGCATCATTTAATAGTGAATTCTGGTTGTCATATTTTATCTATAATTTTTCTACAATATAAGGAATTTTAAAATGGAACCATATTATTATGTCACCAAAATGAGTTCTAAGTCCTTAATATCATGAAATATCTAGTCCATGTTCAGTTTTCCTTAATTATGTTTTTTATTAATTGATTGATTTGAGAGACAGACAGACAGACATTGATTTGTTGTTCCACTTATTTATGCATTCATTGGTTGCTTCTTGTATGTGCCCTGGATGGGTATCAAACCCACAGCCTTGGAGTATCCATCTGGATGATGCTCTGACCAACTGAGCTATCCAGCCAGGGCTGATTATGGTTTTTGAAAAATTTAGACCTTATGTCTGGTTATCTTATGGAATTCATCCATATAATTTTGCAGTTGGTATGTGGGATTTTTTTTTTAGACAGACAATTATGTCACAAGCAAATAACAATTAGTTTTTCTAACTGTTCCTGTATTAAATGTTTTTTTTGCTTTTTTCCGGTTATACATTAGTGAGGACCTCAGAACAATGTTGATTAGTGTTGGTGATACAGGATATTAATGATAATGGTCTAATTTATCATTATTAATAAGTGTGATATGTTTGCTTTTGCCAAGTGCCTGGGGACAATACCAGGGTAATCGGTCAGTCGCTTTGAAATTAGTTCTCAGCTAGAGGTTTTTCCGACCATGGAAGTCCTATGAAATCTGACCTCAGACCTGTGAGAAGGTTAATTTGTGTTGATAAGGTGTGAGGGAGGACAACTTACTCCTTCTACCTTGAACCAAGATCAAGTTTCAAGTTCCTTGCCGTCCTTCTTCTGTGAGGCTGATTTGGTGCTGGTGTGCCCTGACCCTGGAGGTGTCTCTTTGGTTATTAGCTTCATCACTGGTCTGCTCCTGTGAGGCCTGTTGGGGGCTGGGGGGACGTTCCTCTGCTCCCTTGTGGATGTCAAGGCATAGTCCAAGCACAGTCCATGGGGACAGAGTTCACCCGCAGAGCTCCTAGTCCCGCTGTTGTTTTGTTCTTGGCCTCTGGAGGAGTCTTTGTTTTCTGCTTGGTCAGTGGTAAGTAGAAAAAGACAACTCTTTTCCCTTCAGCGGTTTTTTTCTTTTAGCAGAATTGTCCAGAGTACTCATCTCTCTATTCTTCCAGAAAGGGAGATGCATATACATTTTTGTAATCAGAAAACGCAGTATCTGCTTGCACTGGGAGGATTGGAGGAATCTTAAGCTTTTCCATGTGTGGTTAAGGTGTGGCTGAGGTGGGTGTCCATTGCATCCTGCCTCTCTGGACGAGTGTTACCTCCCATGTTCCTAGAATCTGTCATAAAAGCAACTTCGTCTACCTGGACCAAATGTTCACCTTTCTGTTGGTAACTGAAAAGATACCTTTATCGCCTTGACTGGAAACATATCAAGAATCACCTTTTCCCCAGTCACAGCAGCTCTGC